ACAAGGATGGATCTATAAATTGCTACCCCACCCACGTTGTCTACTTCTTCACAGCAGGCTAAGACCCATTAGCTCAAAAACCTGCCAGAGCCACAGTAAGTTTCATACATACCCAATTGTTTTAAACATAACCAAAAATAGCAGATTTTTAGCTATTGAGAGCCAGCCTGCTTTGCATACTCCATGAAACTGTGCCCAGAATATGTCAGTTGTAGTTAAGATAAACCTTGAGGGTATAAAGACCCCAGGCCTCTGATGTCCCCTGGAGTTCTCTAACCCCAGAGACTCCCTTCAAGGTGGCTGAGAAAAATAACCAGGCATGCACAGCCTCATTTATTCTTACTACTAAGTGGGAGAGGGTCTCAGCTGACTATGCAGCCCACTGATACTATGGTGGTGGGAGAATCAGAGCTTTCATCAGGCAGGGGATGACAGATCAGCTCCCAGCTGAGCCCTGACAACACTATCCCAGCTGGGCAATCAGAGCACTGCCTTGTTCTGTGGGTGGAGGTGGAAGACAGGCTGCCTGCTTTCCCCCACCTAATGGGAAAATCAGAGTGTATCACCTGCTCCCGAGGGGTGGCAGTAGGGGTATGAGATAGAAGACCAACTTCCTGCTTGTACCCACTGATACCATGTATGGGGAGAAAAGCACGGCTTTTCCATTGGTGTTTGGCTGGAGAAGGGTGTGTATTGTCAAAACAAATTTGCTGCTGGCCCCACTTCTGGGTCTCTTGACTAGAAGGAACAGGCTTTCATTGGCGCTTTTTTGTCTGTGCCTATTGGAAACTTCTGGTTGGAGGCTTCTGCAGCATCCTCTTTGGAATATATGGGAGTCAATACGGAAACCAAGTCTTCCTCAAGCCCTGAGATCCCCAGGCAACTCAACTTTTTCTTTCCAAGTTTCAGAGAATTCCTATGCTTGTTTGTTGTGTTGTATGTACATTCTTTCCCTGTTAGGGAGGCACCCGGGAGGAATAGGGCTATTCCACCTTGGCAGAACTGAAGTCTCTTCATTTTCACATAAAACTTCTGAGGATTTGTAGGTTTCTTAGCACTGCTATTTAATTGCTCAATGCTCTTATAGTAATAATTTTTTACTTTAAACCAGGGGTCCTCAAACTTTTTAAACAGGGGGCCAGTTCACTGTCCCTCAGACCGTTGGAGGGCCGGACTGTAGTTTAAAAAAAACCTATGAACAAATTCCTATGCACACTACACATATCTTATTTTGAAGTAAAAAAACAAAACGGGAACAAATACAACATTTGTATTTGCATGTGGCCCGCGGGCCATAGTTTGAGGACCCCTGCTTTAAACAGTAGTAATATCAGATTAATGATTTGTAAGATAAATTGGGATGTCTTTACCATAGGAATTACAGGGAGATCTCATCTTGCTTCCTATTCTGTTGATATGTATGAAGGCTGTCCTTTCTTCTCTTTCATTAACCACTGTGCCTCTTCCTAATGCCATGATAAATACCTCTTTCCCTAATCTCTCATTTATCTTTCCTTCCTCTGCATATTTTAAAATGGTGAACTTTTGTATACCATTTATATAAATATTGTGTGTGTATGTGTTTGTGACTCTTTCTAACAAAGAAATATACCCATTATTTGCAGGGTTTTTGCTGAGTTGAATACCCTCCTCCCTACCTAGACCTTAACACCCACAATCGAGATCCATGGGGAGTCGTGGAATGCAATTCCCCACATTCATACGTGGCCTTAAGCCTTGGCTGCAGATGATCTTAGAGGGACTGAGGGATGTAGTATATCTGGGAGTAGGAAAATATATTTAGAGTATACTTGTGAGCATTTGCCTAACATTACCAATACCTTTAGGGGGTAGTCCCAGGGCACTTGGCAGACAAACTATTAGTGGCAACAGCAATAAGCCAAAACCCACATGGCAAATAGACAAAATACAACATCTGTCAGATGACTACTTTATACCATTGTGCCAGGTGCAAGAAGATAGAAAGATGAGTGACATAAATATCTTGCCCCAAATATATTAAGGCTGTGGTCACATAGTCACGTACAAATGATGGAATAGTGCTCTCTGTGACAAACACCAGAGGTGCCATAGTTAATAAGGAGTCAGGCCCAATCTCTAGCCAGATCATCTTTACCTGTCAGTGCTACTTTGCCTATGCCGACTATACTTTTTAAATTTATCGCTTTTAGAACAATTATGTTGCTGTAATATAATGGTTTCTTCCAAGTAAGTCTTTTCCTCTACCTGGCTATAAGGTCTTTGAAATCGAGAACTATATTCTTTTCATTTTTGTATCCACCGTATTTTGCACATAGTAGATACTCATTAAAAATGTGTTTGTTGAGTTCTTAGGTTCCACACACTGTTCCAGATGCTGGGAAAACAAGATACAGAATTCCCAGCTCTCATAATGCTTACATTCTGGTGAAGAAGACAGACAACTGTGACTAAAGACCTTGTACAATGGCACTTAGGAGATAATTTGTACTTGCCTAGGAGTCTCTAAGTGAGTCCTTTGGAGACCCTTGGGACTGCATATTTCTGATAAAATTTAACTTTGTCAAAATATTTTGAGTTGGAGTAGACATAAAATTTCTATTTCTCTAGTCTACTGATCCTACCACAATAGGATTGTTTGAAGGCCACTATTATGAGGGTTCAATTCAATTTAACCAACACAATACAATCTGCATGTGCAAGACACTAGAAAATATTTTTATATATTATCTCACTGGGTCATCATTTTGGTTAAAAGGCCTTTCATTACCCATATCTATCCTCCCTGTCTTGCCCCAGGTCCCTGCATTCTTAACAGGATGCTCCAAGGCACTCTATGCCTTCATCTAGTGTGGCTGCATCATAATACCTCGTTTGCTTTTCTGTCAGCCACATTCACTAATGGAGCTTTAGTTACTCAAGATCAGGTGGCAGGAGAAGGTGGTTGATCAAACTCCAATTCCTTTACTGTGTGACATGGTACAATTATCTAACCTCACTGAACCTCAGTTTCCATATCTGCAAATGTAAACAATAACAATGCCTATTTTGTTGTGAGGATTAAAAAAACAATGCTCATAAAAGCTTAATATGTGCTCATCTATAGTATACTAGAGGCCCGGTACACAAACATTTGTGCACTCGGGGGTTCCCTCAACCCAGCCTGTGCCCTCTTGCACTCTGGGACTCCTCGGGGGATGTCCACCTGCTGGCTTAGGCCCGCTCCCCGGGGGATCGGTCCTAAGCTGGCGGTCAGACATCCCTCTGGCAGCCCAGGAGCCCTCGGAGGATGTCCACTTGCCAGTGGGGAGTAGGCCTAAGCAGCAGTCGGACATCCTTAGTGCTGCTGAGGAGACAGGAGAGGCTCCTGCCACCACCGCTGTGCTGGCAGCCGTCAGCCTGGCTTGTGGCTGAGCAGAGCTCCCCCTGTGGGAGCGTATTGACCACCAGGGAACAGCTCCTGCATTGAGCGTCTGCCTCCTGGTGGTCAGTGTGTGTCATAGTGACCAGTCATTCCCAGTCATTCTGCTGTTAGGGTCAATTTGCATATTACCCTTTTATTATATAGGATTATCATTAACTATTAACTAGCACAGTGCCTGCTATATCATAGATATTCAAAGAATTAATCCCCACTTAACTTCCAGTGAATAGGGGAGAGAATGGTGCCACAATCTAGCCTTCTGACTTAAAATCTTGTACTACTGCTGCAACATGATGCCTTGTAGATATGCCATTTCCCCCCTAAATCATGCGCGTTATAGGTAGTATGGCCCTAGACTATCTCCGCCCCCCCCGCCCCAACACACACACACACTATATAAAAGTTTAGGGCAGTAATCTTATGGAATTTTGTCTGTTTTTAGGTGCTTGAATCAGTCTGGAAGAAGTAGTCTAAATACTAAAACATTAAAATTTTCAGGACATTTTAATGGATTATTGGGACAATTGAATTGAATATTAGTATCAGTAATGTATTGAAAATTTGGGATTGCTGTCCTTAAAGGGACTAATCCCTGTGCATGGAGTCCAAGACATTCTTATATTAAATTCTACTCTACAAAAGAGTATTCGCATGGAGTTCCAATGTCTGGAATTGAGGCAGTTAAGTCATTAAAAATTGCAAGGAAAAGCACTGATGCTTCCTCAGGGGCTCGGAATCTTCTTCCCCGAGTAAGCATGGTCCTTCTCTATTGAGTGCAAAAGGTGAAGCCAAGAAAGCTTTCTTTCTCTTCTCACCTTTTATCTCAGTATCTCTTTTAAAAATATATATATATTTTATTATTGATTTCAGAGAGGAAAGGAGAGGGAGAGATAGAAACATCAATGATGAGAGAGAATCACCCAGCGGCTGCCTCCTGCACACCCCCACTTGGGACTGAGCCTGGGTGGGACTGAGCCCCGCAACCTGAATTGAACCGTGACCTCCTGGCTCACAGGCCTACACTCAACTACTGAGCCGTGCCGGCTGGGCTCAGTATTTCTTTCTTGCCTAATCCTCATCCCAAGCCACACAAGCCCTGCTGTATCTCTGAAATACTTACCGCTGGTAGCCTACACATAGACAGTTGAATCTTGAACAATTAACCAGTTAATTGCCACGATATTTGAATTTAATTTAAAAAGGTCTGCCACTTGCATCTATAGACGCTTATGGCATACAAACAGTTAAAAATTTTCAAAGAAAGGAATCCAATATCATTAATTTCAGGTATTGATGGGCAATTGGGATGAGAAGAATGGCTTCTTTAAAATTGTTCATATCACAATAGATGGGCAGAGGTAGTCCATGCTCTCCCGGTAATATTGTGAGTTGCTTATTAAGCCATATCTATTTTGGCAGAGGCAGAAGTAAACAATTCAACACCGTAGTGTGCTAAAGTTAATGCTTTATAATAAATCAACACATTTATAATAAATAAAATAGATGCATGATAAAATTTTAATTCAAAACAATATAAAATGTTAACAATTGTTTTTAGGATATGTTGTCTACTTACTGTTTTTCCTTTTTTATTTGTATTTAGCCAACCACAGTTCTTATCTTGCATTAACTCATCTGAAAAAATTTTAAAATAATTATATAAGTAAGTTGGCACTTACCGCATTTGACCAGCATGTTCTACACCTGCATCTAACTGATTGTGTAGCATAGCTACTAAGAGCGCATGCTCTGGAGCCAGACTGCTTGCTCTCAAATAGTCTCTGTAACTAACGGACCATCTAATTTTGGACATCTTATCTGGACTCTCTCTCAGTTTCCTCACTTGTCAAACAATGAAGATCCTCCTTCATAGGGTTGTTGTGTGATTTAAGGAGCTGAAGCATGTCACACTGTGTGTGGAACACAATAAACATGCAGTGAATGCAAATGTTGTTGTTATTGTTACCATGATTACTACTCCTTTTAATCTCTGTCACACTTCGCCCTTGGGTCTGTCACTAATAAATCCAATTACTATTTCAATAGTACTGTTAAAATGCATACAAGTGATTACAATTAAATGTCATCATGCTTTGTACTTTTATGTACAGAAAAGACTGTCTCTTAGTCAGATTATAGTCAATGTTTGTATTGCGTACTTCTATTTTTCTGGCATTTAATGCCATTTCAAAAAATAAAGTAAAAAAACACACAAAAACTCATCATGCACTCTAGGTGGTTTGGAATGTTTTTGTGGTTGTTAAAAGTGAAGCACATTCTTTCCTTAAACCCCAACATGGCACAGCGGGAAACCTCCAGAACTCTGATCCAACACTAGGTTTGATTTGGTTGTTACATGCTCATGCTGTACTAGGTGTTAAATATTCTCATTACCACCTTTGGGCTTACTGATATGTTGCATGTGTTTTCATAATGATATCACGAAACAACTCTTTGAATCAGAAAAACCTCTTCACTAATAGATCTACAGGATAGCCAACATGTTTGTAAACAAAGATAAACATAATAAGTGGTTTACTAAATGGTGATGAAAAAAATTAAAAATAAATAGGCTACTAATATTATAATATATAAAAATAAACATTAGCTAGGATTTTAAGGTCACTTGTATGTTGCTTTATTTTCCACTAATATTATAATTCCATAGATTTTTCATGCCAGTTATCACAAAATATAGTAGTGTGATTTACATTTTGAAAGAAAGTTTTGATAACCATTGTTTTATATGAATTCATGTTTTCAATTTCACTGAATATTTGAAAATTATAAGAATACATATACAAATAATAACATACGTATAAAACCAGGGAGCTTTACATATTCATCCAGCATACTAAATGAACCATATGAACTCTGAAATAAAAACAGACCAGAAAACGTTAATAGAAACAATAATTAAATATCAATATAAAATTTAAACTTAGTATTATTGATGGCTATAAATAACTAGAGACCTGGTGTACAGATTCATGCACCAGTGGGGTCCCTTGGCCTGGCCTGTGGGGATGAGGCTGGAACCGGCAGTCCAACATCCCCCGAGGGATGTAGTAATGCGCGAAGCAAGAGGCAGCCAGGGAGGAGCCCAAGCCCGGACTGGGCGCCATGGTGCTCCTGCTCATCCTGGCCCTGCTGTGCCTGCTGCTACCGCTTGGTAGGCTCACGGCCACTCCGCTGCAGTTCTCTGCACACCTGTCCTAGGGCAATACTGGTGCGCCCATGACTGAGAAGCAGCCGCAGGCTTGCTCCCAGTCAGTCCTGATGCCAGTCTCGGTCCCAGTGGGGGAGTGGCGCACAGGGGGAGTGTCTGTGGGAGAGGCTCATGCTGCTGCAGCTGTGCTTGCTAGCAGTGAGCCCTGAGGCATTGGGGGCCCATTGGTCAGCTGAGTGGCACTCCTGCTGTGGGAGCGCACAGACCACTGGGGGCAGCTCCTGCATTGAGTGTCTGCCCCCTGGTGGTCAGTGCTCATCATAGCAACTTATCAAACAGTCGCTTAGGCTTTTATATATATAGATAATAAAATGAGGTCCAATGTTACATTTGGCTTTATCTCACATAAAGAAAAGAATTCCTTTATAATTCACTAGTGCAACTGCAGGTGGTGAGATAACTTACATGGCTGAAACATTGTATTAGTAGGTTTGGCGGTAGGGAATGGCAAGCATTAAAACCCCCACAAATCATGTGATATTACTTTGTACATCATTGACCCTCTCTTGTTCTCTCTAAGCTCTGGAGGTGGGGACTAATAACTTAAAAAATAAAGTAAAAAAGAGAATAATATCAAAGAAAACATATATCAAAAGAGAAGGGAGAAGTGACATTATATAAAATGGTGGAATACAGTGCTCAAAGAATTGGTTTCTCTATTGAAACAAGTATAAATAGTCAAAGACTGACAGATCAATTATTTCAAATTCCAGAATCTAATTCTGGTTGCAAAACTTACAACAACCAGAGGGCGGGTTAATTTTAAAAGGATAGCTAATGCTGTAAAAAAGAAGGAACTCTTACCATTTGCAACAGCATGGATGGAACTGGAGAGCATTATGCTAAGTGAAATAAGCCAGTCAATGAAGGAAAAATACCACATGATCTCACTCATACATGGATAATAAAGACCATTACAAACTTTTGAACAATAATAGATACAGAGGCAGAGCTGCCTCAAACTGATTGTCAAACTGCAGTGGGAAGGCCAGAGAGGGTTGGGGGGCAGAAGGGAGGGGAGTAAGAGATCAACCGAAGGACTTGTATGCATGCATATAAGCATAACTAATGGACATAAGACACTGGGGGGTAAGGGAGGGCAGGGGATTGTCAAGGGCGGGGGGAAAAAGGACACATATGTAATACCCTTTGTAATACTTATTATAATATTTTTTTTAAAAGAATAAAAAAAAAAAGGATAGCTAAATTTTGGTGTTTTAAGAAATCTACTAGGTCATTACCTGGCTACTGAGATAATGGAACAGAGACTTCATGGAAATGACATGGAATACAGTCTTTGCAAAAATAGTTTGAATAAGTCACAAAAGAAATAGGTAACTGCAGCCCTAAAAAATCAACAATAATATCCCATAATGTGGAGGAGAATAATCTAAGTTATAGAGTTACATTATAATACTTTAAATGCCCAATTTCCATAAAAAATTATAAGGCATACAAATAAACAGGAAATATGGCCCATTCACAGAAAAAGAAAAAAAAGGATAGAAACAACCCCTGAGAAAATCCAGGCATTGGACTAAACAGACAAAGATTTTTTAAAAACTTTCTTAAATATACTCAAAGAGCTAAAAAGAATCACAAAGAACTAAACAAAAACAATGTATATATCAAATATATATATATATATAATATGCTAAGTGTCCTTCCCTCCGTCCGGGTGATGACATCACATAGCAATGCCTGGCTTCCTCTCCCTAGCCATGACTAGCCTCCTTGCAGTTTCTTCAGCCCAGAAACACATTAGCCAGGTGGAAACAGTTTACACTGCAACCAAATGTCTGTGAAGTGTTTTCCTGTGCCTCATCTCATTTGGTCCTCACAGAAGTCCTGGAGTAGGTAGATAGGAGTCTCAGTGGAATCCTATTTTCTTTTCATTAGCCGGAAAACAGAGATTTAGCAAGTTTAGAAACTTAACCCAACTGAAAAGAAGTAAGAAATGGTGGACCTTGAAAATGATTTCAGGTTTTTTCACTGTGCAGAATATAGTCAAACATTGCTGCAGTTAAATATTTTACCCTTTGTTCTCCCTGCGTGATCTACAATAATAATCTGCTTTGTGTTGATATTTACTGGTGTGTTGCTGACAATTACCTGAAAGAGAAGTGTTGGGGTGCCACTGGGCTGGAAAAAGGTTAGCTAAATCCGAAAGCAGGTTTAATTAAGCAAGTTTGTTCTATATCTATAAAAGGCTAAGTTGACTCATGCATGCGCGATACACACATAAAGCTCTTGCTGGTGCCAATTGCACACCTGTGTTTCGATCTGTCATTGTCAATCACCAATTTGGTTGACACTTCTATTATAGAGAATGGGCAAATACCAATATTAAAATACTTCTTCTAATTAATTTCCTTTCAATGTGCACTAATTCATGCACTGGGCCACTAGTTTAAAATAAAGAGATAGAAATTTTGAAAAGGAACCAAATAGAAATTCTGGATCAGGAAGTACAACTGGAATGAGAAAATTATTCAGGGAGTTTGAGAGCACATGGAAGCAGACAGAAGGCAGAATCAGTGAATTAAAGATAGGAGATCAAAATTATATATTTAAAAAAAAGATTCAAGAAAAATGAACAGAGTCTAAAGAACCTTGGGGACAACCATCAATATACACATCATGGGAGTCACAGAAGAGAGAGGAAAGAATATTTGAAGAAATAATGGCCAAACACTTCCTAAATTTAATGATAGGCATGAATCTACATCCAAAAATCTTGACAAACTCCAAGAAGGATAAACTCAAAGAGATATATACTAAGACATACTATAATCGAACTACCAAAATACAAAGAGAGAACTTGAAAGCAGCAAGAAAGAAGTGACTCATCATATACAAAAGTTCTTCAATAAGATTAACAGGCATTTTCCATCAGAAACCAGGTAAGCAGACAGTGGAGCAACTGATTTTCTTCAGGAGGCAGAGGGAGGAATATGGTTTCCCTAATTGCCACATTGTAAAGCTGAGATTCTAGGGCCAGGCTGTGTTCTTGAATATATCATTTCCATTTGGAAAGCTTATTGGACCCTTTCCACTTTGATAGTTGCTGAGCCAAACTTGATCCATCCCAAAATGGAAACAACAAGCCAAAGAGTCACAAGGCCTTTACAGGTAAGGTGTTCATGAAGTTCAGTAGCTCTTGGTACTAGGTACTCAAGGTAATAACTGCTTTCCAAAAGGGGGATACCTGTGAATTGTGTTTGAGAACAAGTCCAAAACCCCAAGAAGGGTTTCCAGGCAGGGTTTCCAATCAACACAAAGATCTGTAGCTCACAAGAATTCTTAGGGTTGTTGGACCCCAAAGATAGTGCATCACAGCTTGCTGAACAGCTTTTAACTCAGCTTGTTGGCTTGGGCTCCACTAAAAGGATGCTGATTTATAGGTTAGCCAATACAAAGGACCAGTAGAATGCCCAAGTGAGGCACTTACTATCTTCCATACTCAGAGTCCAACAAGGTTCTGGGCATCCTCTTATGGAGTTGATGGAAGGGGGTGGGACAAAGAGGCAAGTTTTTCTTTTACTGCCAGAAGGACTAAACGTTACAAATCTGCCCAGATAATCCCAATAAATTTTACCTGGTAAGTAGACCCATGAATTTTATCATGATTTATTAGCCACTTCTGCTGGTGGAGATGTGATAATACCATATTCAAGGATGTTGAGACTAAGACTTTTGATTTGCTGACCAGTAGGACATGATCTATATAGTGAAAGCTATGGATATCAGAGGGACATCATCTTAAATGCTGACCCATTCACTGGTGACAAATGGCAGGTGAGTAGGTACACCAAGAGGAATACTAAAAATATATGGAAACTCATCTTGATCCTCAGGTATCTGTGGCATAGCACAGGTGGTGACGGCAATGTCCAAGAGAACATACCAAGTGACATCATTCTGTATAATGGATTCACTTATAGTCACAATATCTGGAACAGTTTGGATATGGAAGCAACAACTGGATTCTATTGGTGATAATCTACTGTAAGTCTCCAACTCCATTAGCAAATTTCACTGGGTTGCTGAACTGAGATAATGCATCTCTTACTTTCCCTGTAGCCTGTAAGTCCTTAATGAAGGCTGCTATTGCCCTTTGTTCTCCTAGAATTAGTGTTTGTTAGACCACCTGGAAGGGCACAGGGAGAGAAGTTGGGTAGTGACTTACATTTCCCACCAGTATTTCTCTACATGTGGCTCTTCTGATTGCTCTGGCACTTATGGAATGAAGATGAACAAGTATGTAACACAATAATTGCTACTACACATCCACATATAGAAACAGCAGTATATTCAATTGACCTACAGAGCTCCATCCAGAATGTTACATTAGTTCCCTTCCCCATTGTGAACCTTGCCAAACCCCATAAGCAGAATCTAAGTGCCTTTGCTTTCCACAGGTGCACATAAGACAGAGACTTGTGCACCCATATCCAATAGAGCTATAAAAGATCGTGGCCTTACCCTCTCTGAAATTCCCCAGCAAACCTGAATGGCTGTATAGAGCCTTCTATCTCCTTCAGGGACAAGGAGACCTTGGCTCCATCTCCAATCATGTGTCTCCTTAAGCAGCTGGGATTGGGTTAAGGTGGAAGGGAGGTGACATGGGGTGCAGAAGGAGGAAGCAACTCCATGCCACTTAACAGTGCTTCACATTTACTTTCAATGTTGAGTGGTGTAGCAACTCATGACTCAATCCAACGAACTGTTGCTGTTGGTCTTTCCAACACTCTATGTCAGGCAGCCAGGTCTTCATAGCTGACAACTTTTACTTCATCTTTGGGAATGCCTTGACAGCAGCCATATCTACACTGCTTTCTGTAAAGGAACATGAAGTTTGTGTGTCCCTCAGATAACTTGGAATTGGTTTGCGTAGCAGTGAGCTACTCTGTGGTGTCTACTTCAGTCCAAGGCATCTGCTGTCCCATTACCATGATGAAATCTCATAAATTCTTGCCTGTTTTCAACATAGAGGCTAGAAGAGTTACCCAGAGCAAGCCAACTGCAAAAATTTATCTGTATTTCTTTGGTTCCGTTTCTCATTTTTTAGGGTATCACCTTCATCAGCTTTGTGTTCCCAAGTGAAGGCAGTAAGAGCCTGAATACTAGTCAAAGTCTGAGCATGTTTTCCCACAGGAATTCATCTGCTCCAGGGAAATCTCCTGGGAGGACCAAAACTACGTTATAGCAGCCAAAACTCACCACAAAAAACTCTGAGATATTTTACTGTTGTTTTGAAATGGGTGTAAGATTGACACTATGTACTGCAGAGTAGTTGGCCATAAGATGGCCCAGCTGTTGCCACTGTTCCTTTATAGGTATCACACAGTCTGTACACTCATCTCCCAAACAAACCAGCCAAAGTTCTAATGATTCACTTGGTTTCTGTCCATGGCAGTCATGAATTCCTGTCCTGTCATCCTCAGTGTAGGTCTGCATCTCTGTAACTGTTGTCAAAGAGCAGAATCTTCTCACTGAGGACAGACCTTGGTACCAATTGTTAAAATGGAACAGATCATCAGATTGGCAAGGAAGTCTTCCCACCTGGAGGATAATTAGCAACAACCAGGGCACTGTTCAGGCAGCTGAATCTATTTCCCCACACTTGGCTTGCAACTACCTCTCCAATTCCCCCTCATTAACAGGCAATGAAGTGGAGGACTATTTATTGCCCGATTCATCATACAATTTGGTCAGCATATTCACCTACCAATTCCCATAGGCTTCCCCTAAATCCAATTGATCAGACCACAAAGTCCTTGTCCTGCTTCTTTCAGAAAGCCACGTCTGAAAGTATCCCATCTTTTCACCAAAGCTGTCAAGAACTTGCCCTACGTATAAGCTAACAACTTAGCCTGCCATGGTTCCGAGCATGCTGATAGAAGACATGAGTCTCTTGAGTCAGAGACAAAGGACAGATTATTACTTAGAGCAATCACAGTAACTATCAGTTCCTCAAGCCCTAGTTCCCACAAGGGGATCTGAAGAGGGCTGGATCACAACTGCACATGCAATGGATTACTTTCCAGGAAAGGAATCCTTGCGCCTCTCACAAGATGTGCAGAGAGGCAAGAGAATCAGAGAGTGGTTTCCAACAATATGGAAAAATTTATGTCATGAGGTTCATCACATATTAACTATTGGCACTGATAATTTCTGGGTGGTGGCTTTATAGGCTCTTATTTTTTTTGTATTTCTTTTGGCGGGGGGACTGCTTGAAGAATCATAAGCACGCATCATTTTCAACTCTGTACTTTAAAAAATTCATTATGAACATTCCAGTCAAGATAATAACTTGAGTTTTTATAAAGCTCCTATGAAATGAGCAGAGAAAACAGAGAAAACTCTATATGCATTTAAAAAACTGAGAAGATTACTAGTTAGAGTTAGGGCAGGAATTAAGAGTTCCTCTAAAATGGTTCAACTAAAGAAACTTTAAAATAAATGAAAGGTGTGTGTACAGATAAGAAACCAATAAGGGATTTAGATAGCAACAGTGCGATGTTACCACTCCAGCCAGGCCCAGTGTTAGCTGGAGGCACGGAGGTGGGGTCCCCCAGTAGTAGCTGTGCATGTGAAGGAAAATTCATTGTAAGAATCAGCACCAATAGGAAGACAGTGGGACAGAAAACCCCAACCTTTCTCTTCCCTCCTCCCCTCCAATGTCCTGCCATGCCTGCCATGTGCTGGCCATAACTGGAAGTCAACTAGAAAGAGAATCTAGTGAGGCAGCTCATAGGGTATGAGCAAAGATAAAAATGGTTAGAAATTTTAAAATGATCTATTTCAAAAGAAGGTCTATTAGGACCAACTGGAAAAGTTCCCTTTACTCCAAAAATCATGGGAACTATTTTTATCTTTTATAGTCTCAATTAGTTTAAAAATTCATTGTATCTATGAAGAGAAAGCATATAGATTAGAAAAACTTCAAAGTGAAAAAAACTGAATTAAAAAAGATAGAGGATAAAATAATTGTAAGGTGCATTTCACACACATGGCTTGTGTTGATTCAAAGTGCAGAATAATCAAAGACAGAGTTTGGGAGATCATAGCATATCTCCCATCTGTCCATCAGGCATTACTCAAGGATTAAAATTTCATAAATAGAATTCACAGCTTTGTGAAAGAAATGAAATTTAATGGGTGAGCAGATATTAGTGATATTGCATATATCACTTCCTGCCTTTAATCCTAGAAGCTTTAAATTCAAGAGACTCAAACATAATGGGAGCCCTATCACTATTCTTTATGGGATGTGGAATTAATCTAGCTGCCTGATGCCTGGTATTTTCTATGCTAGAGCTAGGTAGATTATTCTCCTGAAGAGTATTAAAATAATTTGCATTTCCTATGACCAGGTGATTTTGATTAATCCATACGAAGAGGTCCAGAGTTATAATATATTCAGAGAGTCTAAAAAATGCAATACCCTGCAGTATTTGTAACTAATGAACTAATTCAAAAAATATTTGTTGAGTGCCTATCATAGACTTATCATTATTCTAAATGGTAAGACACTGTGGTAAGAATACTAGTATATCACTACCATCTAGAATTAAAATCGAGTGGAAATGACAGACAATAAACAAGTAAGCAAACATGTAATGTGACACCAGGTAATGAGACTTGAAGAAAAAGCAATAGGGATGGGGTGATTGGGTGATTATTTTACACGTAGTGGTCAGAGAAGCCCCCTCTAAGGAGGGAACAGCTGAATAGGGACCTGATGTGAATAAAGGAACCCTGAGAAGATCTAGGGGGAAAGCATCCCATTTGAGGAGAATAATTGTGGCACTACTCCTACCTGATTACACAATAACCACTCCCCATACTATCTTGTTTCTGACAGAACCTGAATTTTGCGTGTAACAGCAATGTTTATTGTACAAAATTCACCTGCCTTGATCCATCTATGATGCCCAGGACTAAAGCAACATCTTATGATCATGAAGTGTCCAGCATGAGCATAAAAAGAGGAGGAGGAGGGGAGGAGGAAGAAGGGAGGAAGAAGAGGAGGAAGAGGGGGAGGAGGAAGGAAGGGGGAGGGGGAGGAAGAGGGGGAGGAGGGGGGGGAAGAGGAGGAAGAAAAGGAGAAAGAAGAGGAGGAGGGAGAGGAGGAGGAGGAAGAAGAGCAAGAAAATAAAAGAGGTTCCTGGGTTTTTTATGACACTGTTAAGCCATTGAGTCAATGCCCAGAAATCCTCACCTCATGACTTCATTACTCAGGGCCCAATGGCATTTTGAGTAAAACGTGGTTTCAAGGTCTAGATCACAGGATGTGGCTGTAAGAACTGTTGTTAAGACCTCAAAAAAAGATTTAAGATGGTATCAAAGACCAACTCAGCTAGACAAAAAATATTCTAAGTATCTTCGGGTGCATAGACAGGAGAGCTTCTAAGATTTTTAAGGATATGGTGCTATAAAGAACCTTGACTATGAGCCAAAGGAAAATAGCCTGTCTTGAAGATATTTAGAGATGTAACATTTGGCTGGGGTCATAATTTGACATATAGGAAGCTCACAAGATCTTTAAGATAACCATAGCATCTTGGACTGAAAGGAACAGAGACAATTTAAAGTGAAAAGAGGGTCTGAACTTTCAACTTTCTACAGACAAGACATAAGCTACAAAACAACTCAGTTACAAATATAAGCTCATTTTTAGGGGGAAACAGGCTCATTCAGAAGGTAAAGCCAAGTCCCAAGGGCAGAGCCAGGAGCTTGAGTTGGTATGGCCCACTCACCGCCTTCACTTTCCCCTTCCTCCACCTTCACGTTCCCCTTCCTCCACCTTCAGAATATGGCAGTTTCCTGACCCTGACTCACTCATGTATGCAGGGGACAGATAACTGGTATTTTCAGTTCACAGAGAAGCCATACTCAGGAAGCCTCTTTCTTGAGGCTGACTTAGATGTTGATCTGATTTAGATGTTGAAATTCTGTATCTCAAGCCTAAACCTGGTGCAGTAGAGTATGAGCCTAAGGATCTTGGAAAAGCAAAGTGATCAGAGATACCAGTAATAGAAGTTAGTCACATGGGTTGTTGTAAAATTCAGCTGAAAGTATAACAACAATAACAAAATGTAAATTCAAAGAATATTTAGAAGCCTGGAACGTTATTTCAGTGGAAATTTTAAATAAAACTGTTATACGTTTTTTCCCCTCTTTCCTTGATGAGTATAAATAGGGTAGGAATGTTTACTATACTTAGACACACTTCCGCTTGGAGACATTTTCAATTTATTCGTATTTAATTTGTTATTTTAAATGAATTGATTTTGTTTTTCCCAGTCTTATACTTCTAAGATGAAGGCAAATACCCTCCTCCTTCTAGCTAAGCTTAGATTGCTACTTTCCCACCCAATTTCTGTTGGAGATGAATTTAAATTCCCCCTTTATTCTACTTGGATTTACTATTAGCAATATTTGTCAACATTACCTGTGATGCAGATGATTCTCGTTTTAAAATGCTTGGATGTTTATCCAGTAATTTTCCTTCTGGTTGCAAGGGTTTAGTAAGCAGTTTTCTGTCTGTTACAGGTTCATGTTGGTGTTCCTCTAAAGGTATCACTTTGTTCCCTTCGGTTATTGTCAGGTTAGGAATAGTGAACAATGGAGCAGCTCTTTGTTTTGCTGGTTCATCCCTTTTAGGACCAAACGCCTTTGAGTTATCTCCATCCTGCTGGTTCAGAGTTGGTAGAGTCAGGCCTTTCTTATCATCATTACTCAGTAACTAAAAAATATATCCATAAAACAAGCTACCAATTAATCATTACTGACTAGAAATATTTAAAACTAATAAAACTGGACTTAAAATCATTTGTACCCTTATCCTTTATCATAACAAGTTACCATTAATATTTGTAAATTATTACAGTCCTTATAAAAGAATTGAGCAATTCTCTACTTGCCTGAAAACATGGACTATTCTCCATAACAATGATCATACTACTTTATAAATCAGTGGTTCTCATATATTCAGATGTTATAAATCAGCAACATCTCAAAAAAGAAGATAGTATAACATTTTACTGTTATACTATCACCAACATATCATAAAATAAAGGGCATTTTAACAGCAAAATAGTACAAGGAATGGTATCTTATAATAAAGGACTATTAAACTAAATAAATTGAGATGTATGAAAAATTCTCTATCTTTCCCCCCGCCCCGCCCCCTCTCCCTGGACTGAGGGAAATAGTACATATTAACTCTTCAACTGATATTTGACCCAAAGGTGAAAATCATCAAATCCCATTTGTCAAGTAATGGGAAGAATCTTTTATTTCTTATTGGTTTACAAAGGAATTCACTACCTTATGGAGTGTGCTTCTGTAAAATTAGATAAAAAGCAAATAATATCATGTGAACTCTATTTCTACTATAATATATAGATTATTATCACATAGAGAAAAAGTAAAGAATGTGGTTAGGTCTGCGGCATCCATTTCTAAGGTCATTGTGCAGAACTTGATGCTTTTTCTTTTATGTGCCCCCCTTCTTTTTGTCCCCTATCTTCATAGATATTTTTAAATGTTACTATTTTATGCTAAAACTTCTCTTTTAAGAGTATAATTTTACTTAAGTAAGTCATGTAACTGTAACGATATTGCCATAACAAAAATAACAGGATAAACTGAATAACTTTTTGAGTGCTTTTATTTCCATCTGTAAATATTTCTTCGTTTATAAATATTTCATCCCTTTAAAAAATAATGACTATTAGAAGTTGTCTTCCAAGTTCCCTTACCTCACTTGGAATAGTTTCAACTTCCTTATTTATATGAGAGATATCTGTTAAATTAACAGAATATTTTATTATATAGAAAATAAACATATTTTTATGTAAACTAATAAGTTATTATTATAATATTTTTTTTCACCAAGAATAAAGAACAATTTAAATCAAGTAAATCAATGTAGCTATTCAAACAAATACTATTTAGTAAAAACAGACTGATGAATCTCTTGGAAGATCAGGGAGAATGTACAAGTGTGAAGGTAAAATGAAAACATATAAAGTGATGAGATTTCAGATCCACCAATTAAGACATAAAAACAAGTATTCAGTGTATTTTGCTAAAAGTCAAAAGGAAATAAAATAAATCCCAGATGGTCAGTGTTAAGGTTGGGATTGGAAAAAGAGTGAAAAAAGACCATTCACGAGAGGCTGAATAAAGCACTTGTGAACTTTTTCTAGAAATACGAAGGATACATTTTAGCAAAGAGAAAAGGAAAACCTGAAAGGAAGAGAGACGGAATAAAGAACTGAGATACAAAGGAATGAAGTCTAGCAAAAAAAATTTATATGGTCATTATTAGCTGCATGGTTGTGCTCAGCTCATTTTTCTGAGCCTTGCCTTTCTCACATATAAAATGGGCTAATGATATCTTGTAGGTATGACACAAATATATGTAAGATGTGAGCAACCATATGGTTAAATGCTCAAACTCAATCCTCACCATTTATTGGCTGTGTGACCACTGATTGGTTTGATCCTCAGTTTTTCATCTGTAAAAATGTCATTAAGTAATACAGAGAGTCCTCGGGTTACGTCAGACTCAACGTATGTTGTTTCGTGGTTACTTCGCCATCTCCCATTTATTTATTAAAAAAAAAAGTTTCATCATTTTGACGTATGTACATATGTGCTGTATGTTTTTTATTATTTATTTACCACAAGTAAAGGTCAGGAATTATCTTTCTTTTAAAGTTTTTTTACTGTTTCACTTCATTACTGCTGTGTATGTGCTCCCTGTGAATGACGTAGGAGCTTATGTAGGTGGGTTCCGACTTATGGCGAAAATCGCCTTATGTTGCGCCGTAGGAACGGATCTCCGTCGTAACCCGAGGACCTACTGTAATAGTTGCCCTCAATTGACTGCTGTGAGGATTGATTTATAGAACCCAAGTAAAGTGCCTACAACACTGTGATCAATAAATGTTAGCTATGCCCTCGCTAGTTTAGCTCAGTGGGTAGTGTTGGCCTATGGACTAACGGGTCATGGGTTCGATTCTGACCAAGGGCACGTACCTCCATTGCAGGCTCCTTCCTGGCCTGGGCCTTGGTCGGGCTCATGCAGGAGGCAACCAATGAATGTGTTTCTCTCACATCAATATTTCTCTCTGTCTTTCCTCCTCTTCCACTCTCTCTAAAAATCAATGAATACCCTTGGGTGAGGAAATAAATAAATATTCGCTATAACTATAGGAAACCATAGGAATACCAAAAGGAAAGAAGTCACTAGATGATCCAATGGGACTTGAAATAAGCTCTTTGGATAAGTGGAAAAAATTAATTAAAAAAGGAAAAGATGGCCACCACCAGTGAGTGAAAGAGGCAAGCGTCCTTCTTAAGCAGTGACACTGCAGAGAGAAACGTGATTCCTCTGCACCTAAAACGTGAATGTTTCAGGCGAAGAGTGAGCAAAAGATGCAGCAGCTCTGCCAGGCGGCTGACCTCAGAGGTTAGGAAATGAATGTAGAGATGCCTGGTGTAGCCAGGGAAGGAGAGGCAGAGAAGTAGAAAAGTCACCTGTGACCAACGTCTTATAACAATGTGCTTATTCCATACCTTCAGAATTTAAGATTTTAAAGATATGGTATTATGCATCCATTTTAACTTTCTAAATAAAACTTTTTACAGAGATTTTTTTCAAAAAGATTGCATGACAGTTTTTTCCATTAATTAAACATCTTACTGATAACTGTGGTATGTTTGCAAATTTAATGCTAATTAATTCATTCCCCCCTTTCTCTTTCACACACCACACACACACACCTCTACATAAGAGAGACAATAGCTCTACAGTTAACAATGTTTAAAATTCCTTTTCATAGGTCATAGTTAAAATTTAACTTTTTTCTTGTCCTTAAAGTAGGAAAGGAACATTAAAAATTAAAATAACTGAATTAAGTCTAAGTCTTTTCTTTGGAGTGTTACAAAAGAAATACTATGTACTTAAGCTATAATGAAAGGCATATTTACTCCCTATCAAAATATGAAATCCACTTAAAGCAAATTACTAATTTTATATTTGTGATATAGCTACCCTACTTTTAATTATCTTAATAATAAACACAAAAAGTAAACTAGTTTCTTAACCTGATGTTACAGTATCTTCAGGCTTCTTTTCAAATTGGCTCTCAGGTACCTCATAGGTATCACTTCCCTAGAAGGAAAAAAGGAAGGAAGGAAGGAAGGAAGGAAGGAAGGAAGGAAGGAAGGAAGGAAGGAAGGAAGGAAGAGAAAAAATATATTAGACAAATGTTTAAAGAGGGAAACATTTTTCTCTGCCTTCATAACTTTTAATACATATTTTTAATGTACAGAAGACAAGAAGGATTTGGGTCTGTGAGAAAAGCAAACCAAACAGCACTATTTTATTTATTTATTTTATTTTATTTTTTAATTAAATCTTTATTGTTCAGATTATTACAGTTGTTCCTCTTT